TTTTTGCCGAGAATTTTTTCAAAATTTTTTAAAATAATTGAATTGATTCGAAGAATTTTATCAAACTTTTTTAAAATAATTGAAATTTTGCAACGAATTTTATTAAAATTTTCAAAAATAATTGAATTCTTATGAAGAACTTTTATTAATTTTTTTATTAAATAATTGAATTATTGCGAAAAAATTTATAAAACATTTGCAAATGATTGGGTTCTTGCAAAGAATTTTATCAAAAAATTTGAGAATAATTGAATTTCTTCGAAGAATTTTATTGTTTATGAAAATAATTGAATTTAGAAAGAATTTTATTAAAATTTTACATAATCTTATAATTAAATTCTTTTGAAGAATTTCTTTGAGTTTCTTTAAAATAATGGACTTTCTTATAATCATTTTAATTACATAAGTTTTCACAATAATTGAGTTCTATATGAATAATTTCTTTCAAGTTTTTATAATAATCCTCTTTCTTAATAATTGAAATTAAGCATTTAATTCTTGAATTTTATTTAAAATTTTTGGAAAATAATTGAATTTTTTTGAAAAATTTCTTTAATTTATTTAATACAATCGAATTTTTTAATAATTGTATTGAAAATAATTGAATACCTGAGAAGAATTTTATTATTTATGAAAAATACTTTAATTCTTGCGATGAATTTTAATAATATATTTCTTTTTAAATAATTGAATTCTTTTATGAATTTTTATTGAAATAGTAGATATTAAACAAGTTGTAAATCCAGATGTTCATTACATGAACATTTTGCTTCCTCTTTACGATCAGCAAAAAAAATTTGCTTCCTCGTGAAGGAAGCATTAACGATAAATATATTTCATTTTTAAATCATTTTTAATACAATTTAACATTTATAAAATAAAGTTCATTCGTCTTAATAGAAAGAATAAAATTTTCTTATACAGTAATATGAATCTATAAATAAACAAAAAAATTTTTAGTTAAAAAGTGAATTTTTCAACTTTAATTGTAATTAATTCTATAATTTTCAATAGAATATATACTTTATATACATCAATCGATTCGTCTTGATGCAAAGAATAAGATTTTTGATTTATTTTTTAATAAATAATAACATTCTATTGTACAGCAACATGATTTTTAAGAAAAAATGAATTTTTATTAAAAGTGCAAATTTTTTGTCTATAATTGGTTTTAATTCTATAAATTTAAGTAAAACATATACTTTATATATACCAATCGATCCGTCTTGGTGTAATGAATAAGATTTTAGAAATAAATGAGTAAGATTTTCTTACACAGCAACATAATTTTGCGGAAAGAACTCATTTTTTTGATAAAAATGCGATTTTTTCAGCTTTAATTGTGATTAACTCTATAAATTCTCATACAATTTATACTTCTTATATACCAATCGATTCGTCTTGATGCAAAGAATAAGATTTTATTATATATTAACTTCAATAAACAACTTAAAAAAATTTTTTTGAAAAAAAAAATTTTTTAGAAAAAAGTCAAAAAAAAATTTTTTTTTGAGAATTTTTTAAAGTCTATCAATCCATTTCGAGATATTTTTATGATAAATATACCTGGTAAATTTTAGCCAAATTCGTTAAAACCTCTTCGAGTTATCGTGTTCACAAAAATCGGGATCCACACACACACACACACACACACACACACACATCCATACATACATCCGGACAATTGTTCAGGGTCTTATATAACATAGTCCCATATAGAAGAAAATTTGTTAAAAGGATTTTTAAAAATTTTGTAAATTAAACGACTACAAAGCTTCATCACGAGGAAGCAAAATAATTGAATTTTGATATTATTGAAATTAATTTACACTGGAATCTAGATCGGTGAGCTCGGGATCGTTGAGACTCTGTTTACATAGTTTGTAGGCGAGGAAAGGTGGAGGGCTAGCGGGGACTTTCAAATGTCGATCAATGTCGTGCCTAATTGTAGAAGAAAAAGGTTCTCAGTGCCCGATGCTATTTATTTCATTTGATAACTTCATCATTATTTACTTTTTTTTCTTTTTAATATAAATACATTTTATTTTTGTATAATATTTTATAATATTTTGTTATTTATATTAATTTTCTAACATGGATTATTTTTTAAAAGAAAGGTGCAAACAAAAAATACTTCGTACGGCCCTGTTTGTGTTGCTTCTCAGTCTCAACTAATCCGCTAGATCGGTGAGAAGCCATCCCCGATTAGTCTCACCGATCTAGATTCCAGTGTAATTCTACGAAGAATTTAATTCAAATTATTTTGAAAAAAATCGAATTGTTAAAAATTATTTCATTAAAATCTTTGAAAATTAATTTTAATAAAAATTTTAAGAATAATTACATTTTTCGAGAAATTCCATTAACATTGTACCAAAAATAATTGAAATTCTGCTGATTTGTATTATTTATGAAAATAATTGAAAACCTACATACCTATAGAATTTTATTTTTATGAAAATAATTGAATTCCTGGTTAAAAAAAATGTTATTCTTCATGAAAATAATTGAATTGTTGCGAAGAAATTTATAAAAAATTTGTAAATAATAGAATTCCTCTGAAATTTTTATTATTTAATTCATTCATTCAAAATTATCATTTTCTAAAATTTCAAATTAAAATTTTTTTTAAATAATTGAATTCGTTTTGGGAAATATTTTATTAAAATCGTAGATATTGAAAATCATTAAAATTAGAAAAATTTCTGAAAATAATTGAACTTTGGAGAAGAATTTTGTTATTTATAAAGATAATTGGGGTTTTTACGAGAATTTTTTTCAAGATTTGAACATAGTTGAATTTAATAAGAAGAATTTTATTTTTTTTAAAGAATTTTTGCAATTATTTTTAAATTCTACAAAATTGAATTTTTTTTTTAGTATTTTCAACAAAAATTTAAATTTTCAAATTTTATTATTTTTAAAATTGCTAATTTTATTTAAAAAAGATAGTAAGAAGTTAGCCGCGCGATTTATTGCTAGTTTTTAATTATCTTCGTTACGATTGTTAACTTGTTATTTGGGTAATGAATATTAGAATCTAAAATCACGGAAAAACGGTTTGACCGATTACAGTGATATTTGACAATCTTTTATGCATTTATCTAACTTACAATCCTAGCCATAGTAGATTAAGAAATATGAATCTGAACGGAACTTGTGATTTTAAAAGATTCGAAAATAAAAATTTTTAATTGTTTGATTTAATGGAATCGACAGAATAGTGAAAGAATCGTCAGAATCGTCAGAATAGTTAAATTGTGAATTACAAATCCAAATAGTCAAATTCAAATATTTAAAGGTCAAGAAATCAAAAACTCAAACATTGTAATTTTTTGTACGTACTTTGATACATTTGTTAAGTTTGTAATTTTCAGTCTACTTTGTAGGTATATCATTATCATTATTTTATATATATGAAGAATATCTAATTATTTAATAATAGTGGCATTCCAGGAGAAATTTACTACTTTTCGGAGCACCCTCACCGATTTCTTTCAAACTTGGTAGTATTACATTTGTTGGTCTAAAGTTTCAGAAAATCAATTTTTTAAGTAAAATCAATTGTTTATTTAAAAGTTACAACAATTGTTCAAAATTGTTTAAATCACCATATCTTTTAAACGGTACAAGATAATTGAGTTTTCTTTTTTGCTAAACATTCATAAAGACGAGGCGCTTCAAAAATGTTATTAACATTTTTTTCTTATTTTGTTAATTAAAAAAGTTATTTAAATAAATAAAATTAACTTTTGAGCCAGAATTCAAAATTAAATGACTTACGAACCAAAAAATTCCTTTTTTTTCACACTTTTATATTCCGAAGAGAAAAAGTTGATCCAGTTTTTTAATAACTTATAATTTAAACAATGATTCGCTTGTTTACAATTATTTTGCAACTAAATGATCATCTGTTCTCACCTGCGCGCGACACTGCTACGTCACGTCCGTCTGTCTTCAGAATATATTTTTGATAAGCGTGGAAAAATTGAGGTTATGTTTAATCAAAACAACGCATTTCAATCTTTTTAAAGTTTTAGGATATCAGAAAATCAATATCCTGATTTAACTTTTTTTTCCATGACTGCTAAAAACTTTAAAAAGATTGAAATGCGTTGTTTTGATTAAACATAACCTCAATTTTTCCACGCTTATCAAAAATATATTCTGAAGACAGACGGACGTGACGTAGCAGTGTCGCGCGCAGGTGAGAACAGATGATCATTTAGTTGCAAAATAATTGTAAACAAGCGAATAATTGTTTAAATTATAAGTGATTGAAAAACTCGATCAACTTTTTTTCTTTGGAATATAAAAGTGTGAAAAACAAGGAATTTTTTGGTTCGTAAGTCATTTAATTTTGAATTCTGGCTCAAAAGTTAATTTTATTTATTTAAATAACTTTTTTAATTAACAAAATAAGAAAAAAATGTTAATAACATTTTTGAAGCGTCTCGTCTTTATGAATTTTTACCAAAAAAGAAAACTCAATTATCTTGTACCGTTTAAAAGATATGGGCATTTAAACAATTTTGAGCAATTGTTGTAACTTTTAAATAAACAATTGATTTTACTTAAAAAATTGATTTTCTGAAACTTTAGACCAACAAATGTAATACTACCAAGTTTGAAAGAAATCGGTGAGGGTGCTCCGAAAAGTAGTAAATTTCTCCTGGAATGCCACAATAATAATATTATATAATTATTAGAACATTTTAATATCTTCAATTATTAAAATAACAAAATTTACAAACATTTTTGACCTTCTTCGTTTCATGAAATAACCTCCTTAAACAATACACTGAGAGAGAAGTATGTTATGGGGTACCATATAATGATTGTTCGGGGTACCATACCTTATCCACATTATAAGGATAGACAATATTTTTAAGCAAAAGTTTATTATTTTTAAGCAAATACTTTCGGACAGTCGACACTAAAAATTAATTTAATAAAAAAATCAATTAATAATTATAATTTTTATACATTTTTTGCAGAGTCCATAGTTGTCAATGAAATCATGATTCTGGAAAAGGAAAGAACTTCAATGAAGAAGACGAGTGTCCCACAGTCACAGGTTTCCACAATATCAGAAAATGATTCTAAAATGACTTCCAACGTTCAAAAACAACAAAAAAAAGTTGACTCACTGCCTTTTGAATGTGCTTATCGCGGCGAAGGAAATGCCAATCTCGTCATTGCCGTACCATCCGTAAGTCTGATTCTTTCATATTTAAACAAAATAGGTAAACATTCTCTAAATTTGAATCGGCGAATAGCTGTTGATTCACAGTCCAGAGTATGCAGCTGATTCTATCTTGGTCAGAAAATATATTTTCTTGATTTTAGAAAATTTATAGATCTATATAGTGTCTCATCGACCGTTTCACAGTCGACTTGGTTGCTTTCGCTTTTTTTAATTGAACATGTTCCTTTTTATTTAATTTTGTATTGTTTATTTATTTAAAATTACTTAAATTTTTATTCAGTTTCTCTAAAATTAAAATAATTAAAATTAAATAAAAATTTCAAGTCCAATGATATTGAAAAGAGCGACTGTAGCTCCATCTCCTAATTTTTGTAAATGAAGCCTACGAAGTCTTTTACATAAATTACAAAAGAAATTAAATTTTGCGAAATTGTATTGTTTATTGAGAAATAGGAAATTAATACTTTGTTACATGTTAGCAATAATATAAGCTTATCATGTAAGCTAACAATAAGTTCTCTTGAAATTTGTTTATCGGGGCTTTCTGGGGTAGCTGATTACGAATCTAAAGTCGCTCTTCAAAAATTCAAAATGGCGTTTCCAATATGGCGGATAAAATCCAATATGGTATTATATGAAATTATTTAAAAGTAATTGGTTTTTTAAAATTTGTTATTCGGGAATTTTTGGGGACTCTGATTACGAATCTGAAGTTATTTTTTAAAAATTCATAATGTCGGACAAAATTCAAATTTGATCAGATTTGCTTAAAACTTGTTACTCGGGGGTTTTTAGAATTGCTGATCATGAATCCGATGTCAATTTTTAGAAATTCAAAATGGCGGACCCAATATGGCGGACAACAATTTTCAAATTGATCCAAAACATGTGTTACTCGGGGGTTCTTGGGGTCGCTGATTTTGAATCTGAAGTCACTTTTTAGAAATTAAAAATGGCGAATCCAATATTACAGACAACTTTTTAAATTTTATAATATTCGCTAAAAACTTGTTACTCGGGGGTTTTTAGGGTAGCTGATTATTAATCTAAAGTTTACTTTAAGAAATTCTAGCTTCATACTGTTCAATAATGTAATTAATTTATTATTATTATTATTTCCAGCTTGAAGCTTGAATTTGTAGTGACCGAAAATGGCAAAGAAAATACAAACTTTAAAATTTATATCATAAATATATGCGTAGCAATTTTTATCAAAATTCGATAAAACCTCTTTGAGTTATCGTATTCACGAAAAAAGGGATCCCATACATTCGGACATTTGTTCAGGATTTCATATAATATATTCCTATATAGAGGAAAATTAGGTTACACCATTTTTAAAAATTTTATAAATAATTAAAGGACTACAAAGCTTCCTCCACGATGAAGCAATATTAAAAAGAGAATATTCTTAATTTCAGAATATTTCTGTATGATTTTTGAAAAAATCCGTTTACGATTTTAAAACATGTGCGCATTAATTTGTCTGTTAGTATAAAGAAATTAACTTTACATTTAAAAGTATTTAAAAAATATTCTAATATATATTAGAATATACATATATCAAATATCGCGGTTCAGCAAAGAAAAAGGAAAGTAGCCGCTTCTTCAAAAAGGATATAATATTGATTTTGTTATATTTGATTCTATTGGCACTCGCGTTAGTATACATTTGCGTCCCATCTGTCGTAAATGGAATCTCTTTCCACTCCATTTATTCTGCAAATTTAACGACCGGTCTATTATCGACAGCCGCTCCGCTTAAAGATTTTTATAGATATTGGAGATTTTGAGAACTGGTTTATCGATCTTCAAGTTTAATATCCCAATTGATCAGAAAAAACAATATTCTATTCGCTGAAAAAACCGGGTCTAAAAACTCATCTTAATTTCTAATTTGCAACAAAAATAAGACTCATAGGTAGCGCTGCGTTCTATGGCGTTTATCATTGTCTTATTTTGAGCTGCAACAAATATGAGACTTTTTTGTTTTTTATATGTGTTATCGATTAATTCTACTTTTTGGGCACCTTTCCCTTATATTGGAGGCAATTTTTGTATCATAATTCCTGTGTTAAATCCTTGACTATAGCGACGTAGGATAGTCCACAATTTTATACAACGGAAGAGGAAGCCCTAAAAGTTTAAAAGCCTGTAAAAGTGCGTTCACCACTGGCGCTGCATAAGTATGCATCGTTAGCAAAATCACACTTATAAGTATAAGTGTGATTAACAGGGGCTTCCAATCTAAAAGAGGGGAAAAAAGAACTTAGCTTGATAAAATAATTCTAGAAAATTCCAGAATTACTTTATTGCAAACAGATTCTCGTTTTTTACTTTCGACATTAATTTATGAGAAGAGTACACACTAAAAAAAAAGTCTTACTTTCAGCCTCTTTTTGAGGCTGAATTTAAGGTGTAAACGGAGTCAGCCCCGTTAGATAAGGACAGACTTATGTGAAATACATGGGCTGAATTTAAGGTGTAAACGGAGTCAGACTTTTTTTTTCCTGTGTATTGACATACTACCCACACAGCACATAAAATTTCCCGATTATTTCAGAAATATTTCAGTGGAAAGTTCTTGAAATGTTGCTGCATTTACGAAAATGTCCGCTTTTGAGGAAATATTGCTGGCAAATGTTGCATGAATGTTATATTCAAATTTGTTTGAAATGTAAGATTACAAATTAGAGCAATATTACAATTGACATTTTTCATTTGAAGCATCTAATAGATAAATTTGAAGAAAATGCGTGTAGATTTAAATCAAATGAAAAATTGTTTGATCGTATTGATGCTTTTGTCAACAATGGCATATGGAGGATATTTTTTCTTGAGTTTCGTAGTATCGCACCATTTCTCTACCAGTCGTCAATTTCTCCCTACGAAGTGTCCTAATTTTATAATAATTTAGATTTTTGAAATATTTATATCGTAAAATTCCAATAACACTATAAACTTGATAAAAAAAGCAAGAACAACATTGACTTTTTTAAAGTGTCAGAGTGACGAAACCCCTTTCTGCTTATAATAAAAAGAATTTAAGTAAATGATGCTAATGAAGCAAGTAGAACCGGTCCTTGAAAGCGCGTAAAAGAACAAGCGTTTAGTTCTTTCGCAATAAAAGTGGCACCACTATAACCAATCGTTGACGTCATAAGCATTTCAAAAAGGTTGTGGTCTCTCCACATTCATTCGTATTCGATGAAAAAGATCACGATGATATCATTCTCTAGTCTTCTTGGTCTATATTATTCATTCTGTCTCACAAAGGTAAAATATTCATTTGTGTCGGTCCTTTTTTGCATAGAAAAAAGAAATAACAAATGATGAATAGAATGACACACGAGTTTTAACAGTAACGACACTTTTTCATTTGTTATCGTTACATAAGAAAATATTCCAAAACTAATCACCATTTTTGAGTTATAGTATTTTATCCCATATTTAGAAATTTCAATATATCGACAACAACAAAAAATTAAAATTTAATGTTTATTATCAGACAGTGAGATAATAAAATGCTGGATGGTTATATTCGTTAAAGCTTGTGGGTAAAACAAACTTGTTTTTGCGACAAGACTGATAAGAAACTTTGTTAGAAAAAAGTTAAGATTATTGCTATTAAGACATTTTGAAATTGAAAAATACTTTATAATCATTATATTCATAGAATACTATTTTTAGGAGTACAAGCATTTTTTATGATACCAGTAGAAATTTAGAAAAGTAAATGTTAAACCACGTTTCGAGGTTATGGAATTAGATAATTTCAACTGTACCATGAATCAACATAGATGTAATTTGAGTTGTGAAACTTGTTCTAGGTCGGTTTGAGTGAGTGTAAAATTCTGGTACCTAGCAACTAATTTTTAATCAAATTGTCCATGTGTACGTTAAAATTATATACAGTATTTATATTCAACTAAAAATTCAATTTTTAAAAACTTTTTTCTATAAACAAGATTTCTATTATCCTCATGATACTATATAGATACTATAACTGGTCTTCGATTCAAATAAAAGACATTTTTATTAAAAAAAAAACTCTCTAAATAAAAAAAATTTTTTAATTTAAAAAGGTATTATAGTTAAAATTGGTTAATTTTAATCACCTTTTTAAACTTTTGTAAAAGTAATTTTAATACTGATTTTAACATTATTTTAATACTGCGGTTGTATGAATACGATTTTTAATTTAAAAAAAAACAAAGAAAGATTTGATAATTTGCTGCAGGTACTAGTACCTAAAAAGGTTTTTGCTGATTTTGGTAATTCGGGTATAAAAAATTAAAATTTTCTGAAATGATATACTTTTTTATTTCAAAATCAGAAAAATCTTGATTTAAGACTTTCTTTTAAAAAATCTCAAATTCAAAAAATAATCAAACTAAATTTTTGATTTTTGACAACAAAGTGACATCTTTTAAAATTATTATAAATACAAATAAAATATTTAGAAGAATTTGGATACAATAAAACTTCAGAGGATGTAAAAATAGAATTTTTGTCAATTTTCGAAGAATATTTTTTAAAGAATATGAATTAAATATGAAATTAATTGTATAAACTAATAAATTATAAGTTAACTATAGCAACAAATCGCGCGCTAAAGCGCGCGGCTAACTTCTTACTACCTTTTTTAAATAAAATTAGCAATTTAAAAAATAATAAAATTTAAAAATTTTCTAATTAAAATTTTTGTTGAAAATACTAAAAAAAATTCAATTTTGTAGAATTTAAAAATAATTGCAAAAATTCTTTAAAAAAAAATAAAATTCTTCTTATTAAATTCAACTATGTTCAAATCTTGAAAAAAATTCTCGTAAAAATCCCAATTATCTTTATAAATAACAAAATTCTTCTCCAAAGTTCAATTATTTTCAGAAATTTTTCTAATTTTAATGATTTTCAATATCTACGATTTTAATAAAGTATTTCCCAAAACGAATTCAATTATTTAAAAAAAATTTAATTTGAAATTTTAGAAAATGACAATT